TAGGCTTATAAAAGATAAGCCTTCAGCAAGCCGAACACATTGATTATATAGAGTGACTTAACCTTCTAAGAGTCATGGGCAGCTAACAATTTAATATATAAGAAAAGGAATTTAAGTGATGTTTCCTGCCCTCAATGATGGCAAATTCTTATTGGTAATATAAGGTTTCAACCTCCTAGGGGTCTTTGCATTTTAATAGAGGACTTGAAGACACCAGATGATCTTATAATCCCCAAGGAGTCGAGTCGTGGGAGTAGAATTCTAGGCACTGAGAACAGAGGGAGAGAGTTTTGAGGGCCAGAGAATATTGTCCTGTTGTCAGTCCAGGCTCTCCTTTGTGTGGAGATTATGCTGTAGAAAGGGTCACCTCCTTTGGTGCCCACGTCCTCTGGAGTCATGTCCTCCCCCACCTCTTAGCCCTTCTCCAGACCTGGATCTCACCCGTAAGACACAGTGTAGAGTGAATCAAACCAGTTCACGGCCAGGAAGAAAGCTAGAGTCCCAAGAGCAACCGAGGCACTACTCAGGACTAATCAGAGCCGAAATTATGGATTGTTTAAGTGACAAGTTGGTCAAAGCACTCAGAGTCAAGACCGTTGGGGTTTTGAGAATTCTGGTGGAGTATCCATCAGGCCTCCACTCATTAATTCCATTCATGGCAGCATTTAAAGTGTAATGAAAACTCAATGCAAAAAATATTAGGAGACTTGGAGATTTTAATAGTTATTCCCAGGACACACACGCCTAGAACAGAGGACGTGGCACTGAAAACAGAGTTAGCAAGGCTGCTGCCTCCACCCCACGATGCTCACCTCACTGTGCCCCCTCTAGATTGCCATGAAGCTCCTTGGAGGGGAGGAAGAGACCTGAGAGGAGCCCCTAACCCTTCTAAAAGACCAATCAAAAGCCTTGTCTAATTCCTTCCCATCAGAGAGTATGTGACTTACCAACGCTACTAAACTGTGATGGATTCCGGCATGTCATTCCCCCAAGTAATTCAGACCAGCATTTCCCTGAAGGAGGCTTAGCATATCTCCCAGAATGCCACTAATCTAATAGCTGCCCTCTTTCTGGGAAGTAAACCTGGGTCTGTGGCGTCCAGGCAGGAAGAACAGCCATTCAGTTTCAAACAGCTCTCTGTTGACTTCAGCTGGCTTTTCTACATTTTCAGTGTTTCTCTCCGTGCCCCTCCTCCTGCAGGAGAAAAGGCATGGGGCCTGTAAGTAGCTGACTCAGCTAGGCAGGGACCAAATAAAGTCCATTATCCCTGGCCTTGGGCTGAGGCGGAGAGACCAGATGCTTACCGTATATAATCTCAGAGGTGCAGAGAAATCTCCTTTACTCAAACTAGTATCCATTTTCCATCGCTGATGTGCATAATTACATTATTAAAGGCTTATTCCTCTGTGGCCTGATGAAGCTGCCTTGATAATATGACCTATCCTTGCATCCATCTTTCATGTGCTGAGAGCTGTGACAAGGGAGGACTCCAGGTCACCCGGCACCCTGGGCTCCTTGGAACTGGGATGGCACAGGACATTCTGGGAGCCATGCTGAAGATAGCAGACCCATTTTCCTCCTCTGTAGTTCCCACTGTGGTGTTTATACCTTCACTTAATGTGACTGCACCCTGTACACTTGCTAGCCCACACCATACCTGTCATCCAAGTTTCCTGGGAACGTAATGGCTGAGTTAGGGTTAGCTCGTGTCACCTGACCACAAAATATTACTGGTGTCTGACCAAGATCACAGCTGTTAATCTTCAAAACTGTTGAGGTCTCATCAAGTCTAGGGCTTCCAAAGTTGTTAGGTATGAACAGAATCAAGGAGATTCGGGAAAGGAAGGGGAGAGAGCCTGACCTCAAGGTGCAGGTCCTAGAAATGGATTTTCATTCTTTTGTAAGGAGACATCAGGAACCATGTGCAGACTGGAGAAAAGCCCAGGTTCTGGAGATTGTAGGCAAGTTGTTTAGATCCCTTGCTTAGTTCCAAGGAGAAATACGGCTTACTGTCACCACAGAGAGCCCCATAACACTGCCAGCCCTCCAACAAGTCACTGTGGCCTCTCACATGCACACAGGATGCCAGATTGTGCAGCCAGCTTGAAGGACAGAATTTTACCAGATGAAGGAGATAGCACAGTGCTCTGTGCTGAAGAATTTTAAACAAAGACCTGTAAGTCAGAGCCATCTAAGAAAGGAACCATCTTCCTCATGGTGCCCCACCCCCACCCCAGTGTGGGTGCTGCTGGGACCTGGGCTGGCGGCACTGAGTAGCCCCCCACAGCCCTGTCTGTCCTTCCTGAGGTGTGGGCCAGCCAGCCCTGCAGCCTGTCTCATTTCACATCGTCTACACTTTCCAATAAGTTCTTATTCTATTAGATTGCTTCCTGGAAGATCCAAACATTAAAAATCACCGGTCAGTCAGTTCTTTATTCTGTTAGTCACCAAACTGATTTTTTAAGCTCAGAACCAATAAAGCTGTGATGGCAAAGAAAGGATATAGATTTCTCTTTCCCACACACTCATATATAATAATAATAAAACTTTATTAAACAAGAGACATGTTGTTTCAGGGAATTTTTCTTCCCCCTCTCTAGTCCCTGAGGCTAAAATATACAATCTTATTAACTTCCTAGAAGAAATACTCCATTCCCTCAGTGCAAATGCTGAACATCCATCTTCCTGGAGCTGGAAAATGAGGCAGGACTTTGACAAGAAGGGATGTGGGGTGCAGTTTGATCCAGGGAAATCTCGAGGAGGAGTCTGATTGGAGGCTCCCGAGGAATCTACGTAGACTGTTAGGAGCCTCTCAGAATAGGAAAGGAAGAGAGAAAGGCATTAGAGGGTAGGTTGGCATGAAAAGGGACACCAGGACTGAAGGGGACAGAGACTCCATGCATCCCAGGCATCAGGATGGGGAACCCAGGGTCAGACAGCAGCTCTCATGTGCCCAGAGTCACATGGATTAGATGGTGGCACAGGAAGCAGAGAGCTACCATCCTCTGAGTTCCCTCCTCGCCTGCCTCCTACCTGTAGTCCTGGACTGATCTCAAACTAAGGAAATGCAGTCCTGCCTTTCACATGGTCCATGAGCAGGCTCCACATTCCTCAGAGACCTCAGGATCCAGGTCTCCTCTTTCCATTTCTGCCCACAGGAAGAGGAGAACCTTGCTGCTTCTGAAGCAGATGTCAATCAACATCAGCACAGGTCTCCATCAGGTGACAAGTGAGATCAGAGCACAGAAGTCCAATTTGGTGCCAGTTTCCTATGCTCAGATCCTTGAAGAAAGTAGACTAGACGACAAGGACACAGGCATAGTACCCAGATGTACCCAGAGCATAATGTCCTTACAGGAGACTTTGGCACAGTCCAGAGCTTAGGGTTGCATCTGAGAGGAGGAAAGAAGAATCAGGAACTCTCTGACAGTGACCACTGAGTGACAACATGTGGGTCCCAGGCCTGTGTGGTGGTGACCAGCTCCACACAGTTCCCCACTGCACATGAGGACTTATGGGGGTGCTCAGGCGGAAGGGACAGTTGTGAACTCAGTTGTGCACCTGCAAATGCATGCATTAAAATCCTTGAGACTGGACGTAGAAATGGGGCTTCCAAGGAGGTCACTCAGGTTTGTGAGGTCTTAGGCACAGGCTCTAATATGATAAGACTGATGAACTTCAAAAACAGGAAGAGAGCAGAGTTCTTTTTCTCTGTCTCTGTCTCTCTGTCTCTGTCTCTTTCTCTCTGCACACAAAGAAGAGGCCATGTGAGAACATGGTGAGAAGGTGCTGTAAACCCACAAGAGAAGTTTCACCACAATTCAGCCCTGCTGGCACATTCAGCTTGGACTTTCAGCCTCCAGAGCTGTGAGAACATAAACTTCTGTTGTGTAATCCATAGTCTTTGCTGTTTTCTCTTGCCAGCCTTAGCTGCCTAATACAGGGGATGCTGGGGAGAGCGAGAATCTGAAACAGGGACAGTCCAGGAGGAGTCAGGGCCAGGGCCATGGGTTCTTGTTGCTCGCTCTGGCAATCCCAGTCATCTCTCCTCACCGAATCTCAGCCCACTCAAACAGCCCGGGCACTTGCCACTTCTGATGTTCTGCCTTTCATCCTTTTCTGAGGTCCAAGGGCCAAGACATGGGCTCTCTGAAGAGTTGAAGTCTTTTCAGGCAGGTGGAAGAGGAAGGCGATGAGTTCCAAAGTCCACTCTACTCAGAAGACTCTGGCCACAGAAAAAGCATACACATGGATTTAGTATTGAACGTGATTTGGTGTTTGTTTTAAATTGTGAGATTAGATGCCTCTGAATGACATATAAAAGGAGCAACAGTGAACTCATTAGAAAGTGGTATTTATTTGTATTTCAGATGGTATTTTCCAAGTACAGTTTGGCGAATCCAAGTTAGGTGACTGTCAAATGTACCTGACACACAGCAGAAGTAGTTCAGATACCCTACAGGAGATACACCCAACAGCATGACCTACAGGAGATAGACCCAACAGCATGACCGACGCAGAGATGTGGGCATATACAGACCCTTGTTCCCTCCCTTCACTGGAGTCACTGTCCCTAGGTAGCATCAGCGCTCTTAGCTCTGGATGCTGGGTCCAAGCTGCCACCACGAGACTGTTTCCTGCTGGTTCCATTTAAGATCAACCCGCCCCACCCCGTGTTTCCCAAGCAATGACTGTGCATTCATCTCTGCTTTGCTCAACTGCAAGATGGTAACTGAAAAGCCTCTGAGGTCACTTCTAACTCGAGAGATGGCGGAAGGGCTCAGACAGTTTAGCCACTGTTCCTTCCCTGAAGGCCCTGGCAGTGGCCCTGTTAATACCTTGTCTTGTGTATGTGGAGAGGGACTCCATTTCCTGCCTTCCCATAGAAATTTTATCCATTTATGAGCAGGACCACGTGCCAGTAAAACATGTGCACGAGGGATGTGAGTCTTTATCCGAGCTGGCGCCTAACACTTTCCTTTTACTCTTCTCTACCAAAGGAGGGAAAGAGACCAATCGATGTGAGGTGCAGAAATCCTAGGAGACACAAGAGCCGCTGTACCTGAGGAGCACAGAGGATCCCTTACTACCTGGAGAGGCCCCTCACCCGAAGCCAACGGTGATAAGACAGGAAAGCAATGAAGTGTGCTGTGCTGCGCCATCGCCGACTGCGTGGAGGACCGTTCCTTCTGACAGTTAGCGTGTCCAGGCTCAGACGCTGACTCACTGTGAGAGTAGCAGTCGCCTGATCTCTAATGGAACTCACCCTGGGTGGGAAACTAATGAACACCCAGATTGCACTGTTCAGTGCACAGAGCTCTGCGTACAACGCGGGTCTGTCTGACTGCAGGGACAGTGCCATCAATCTGGTTCTTCGTAAAGTCCTCTGGACTACAGTGGGACCACAGGGTGGGGTGGAACGTGCAGGGCAAAACCCAGCTCCCAGTGTTCCTGAGACGGAGATGACTTCCAAACTGGGTGTAAGGGTGTTTTTGTTGAATGATGCACCGTCTGTTTCTCCTCCTTACTCCACCAGCATGTTCTCAGCCCATTGTGCCCCTCGCGAACACTTCCCCTACAAAGAAACCATGGCAGCTTTGGAACTTGGAACCAGGCTAATCCTTGGGTCTCAGGCAGGGAGCTCAGGGAGCCTTGGCTTTGGAGTAGCCTCTGGGGTGCTTACCGAAGCCTGCTGGCCTGCCTAGAGCTTGGTCTTTTGTGGCAAAAACTAGGTCTGAGGTCCACTTGGGGCAGAGATCAGGAGTGCCCGGGACTCTTGAGCTACTCTTCTCCCATGTAATCAAGAGGCTCAAAAATAGAGAACATTATCGGATGTTTAATTATTCCCTTGCTGGGCTGCCTCCCCAGCTGGGACCCTGGCAGTACCAGTCTCAGTATGAATCACATTTCATCAGTGTAACTGCAGGGCTTCAGGGATCATTTTGGAATACTAGGATGTTAATGCATCAGGTTTTGTTCCAAGCAGTGAGCTACCTCCTGGGATTTGGGAATCTCTCTTTTAATCTAGATAGCACTAATGAGCTAGTAAGGACTCCTGACCCTCTTGACTCACTCCCCGTGTCCCAGGAGAGCTCCGAGTGCTAGAATCAGCCACATCCGCACTGTCCCACAGCCAGCCCTGAGCCTGATACAGCTTCAGGCTGTCAGTGTGACCAGTTCCACTTGGAAGCATTCTAACTGCCTATGATCCTTCTTTTCTTTCAAATTACTGACTAAACAGAGCTCTGCACACCCGTGCTCTGGTTATCTTGATGTCAGTGGCAGCATTGTTGTCTTCTATAATGGAATTTGGCAAGGAGTTGTCGTCAGATTCCATCCCCAAGCAATGAATATGCTGGGATATGGAGGAGATGGCCCTTGAAGGTGAAGGTGGTTTGCTATGGACTTTCCAAGCCTCATGGGGTCACAGGAGGGGCTGTTTAAGAGGTGGCTGCATCTAGAGTGTGTGAGGATGGGACTGATTCCTGGTGCAATGCTAGGCTCAAGGGCACTAGGATTAGGGCTGTGAGTGCTCCTGCCCTAAGTCTGCATAAGATAAAAGGGGCAAAAAGTCTCTGTTGAGGTCCCTTGTCTCTTTTGCTATCTTCACCTGAACTGTTTCTCTTCTCTGTGATGCCCCCCTGCCATGTGCTTTGGAGCAGGACAACTCTAGGCAGAAAATTCTATGACCTATGAGCTAAATAAACTTTTCCCTGTTTAACTTTGGGTGTGGGGTATTTTGTCTCAGCAATGAAAAAAGTAAGACACAGTTAAAGATCATTTAGCTTTTTCCCCAGGTCTATCTCTCAGTGCCTTTAAATTTACATTTACTAACTTCAGAAGGCTTCATATGACACTTCTGTCTGTCAGGGCTTTTCTAAGTGGTTTATAAATATTCACCAATTTACCCTGGTGCATTTTAATGCACATTTTATAATAAGAAGCTGAGGACAGCAGAGAGGTTAGGGAGCTTCTCTAAAGTCACAGAGCTAAGAAGTACTAGTGTCAAGGTTCTGAGCTGGGCAGTGTGGCTCCAGGGCTGTCTACACCCACTTTACCATCCTGCCTTCCCCTCAGCTCTGAGCAGAGCTAGCCCACCACTGGGATCATGGGTCCATCCCATCGACGCAGTCTGTTCTCCTCTTCCTTACCCCTGGAAATCTTAGCTCATCTTGCAAGACATGCTGAGTTTCTACATGAAGCCTTCGTGGATCTGCAGTACCATGCAGGAATTGATGGGCTCTGCACTACGCTGGTACAGTCACAAAGGGCGGGTGCTGGAAACCTAGAGCAAAATGCACACCGTCCCTTGCTAGTCTTATGACCTTGTGCAAATTACTCAATTTCCATAGCCTATGCTTTCTTGTAGCTACAAAATAAATAAATAACAATAAAAAGAAAAGAAAAAATTGCAGGTACATTGAAGGCTTCTAAAACGGTTAAACACATAGCCGTATTTAGATACCTAGAACAGCAGTGGTTCACACTGATCATATTTATATAATAAATATTATATTTCATATATATATATATAGATAAGCACTTTATTATTATTACTTCAGTTCTCACCTACTGCTGTTCAGTCACAGTTCTCTTTCCCATGAGTCTTACCCTTCGCAAGATTGTACTTATAATCTTATATTCACAGAAGATCTGGAACATTTGTGTTATTTTCCCCCTGGCACTTAGATTAGTATACTGCAGATAGTAAGCACTCATTTAGTGGCAATAATTAATGAGTTGAAGAAAGCTAATATTCCATACCCAGCCAAGAAGATTAAAAAATTTCTTTCTCTCCCAATGAATTGCCTATAAATATGTCACAGGTCCTCATTGATTTTGGAATAGTGCATCTCAGGGGTAATTGAATCTGTCTTAGCTTAAAGAAGAGCTACTCCTAAACAACTTAACAAACACAGCCATTAATTGGGGCGGCTGAGTTAAAATGAGGCCCAAACTTGGTGGGATTGGAATATCGGTAATCTGTAACAGCCAGCCAGCCTCTAGGAACTTGTAACTCCTCTGTAAGCTTTGCTTTCCAGTTTTGTCTCCAGAGAAACAGTCGCTTAAGTATGATGGGGATTCTGCAGATACACCCTGCCAGGTGGTTAAGAAACCATCTGAAGACAGACACCTCATTATCATTTGATGCTCACAGCAAAGAACCACTTACAAAACCTGCTCTGTTATTTGACTATTTGGATCCTTGAGTTCATTGATTCCAGCATAATTGTAAAGATTCATTTTAAAGTCAGTAAAGCTCCATGCCTTCCGCGGGGTCAGAGAATACTGCAAGGCTCTAGATCTGCAGTAGATGACTTTTTGCACGACAGTCGTGTTCCGCTTCCCATTAAAATCAGGGCAAAAATGTGAGTAACTCCATGCCTGCTCGGAGTCCCCCACGTATGGAGGATGGCCTCCAGGTTGCTCAGGTTATAAGGCAGGGTCTTCAGAAGTGTTGCCCCTCTGTCCTTTAATACTGGTTTGCTGCTCTGTGGGGAAGGCAGCCCCGGGAAAGAGCAGGTGAAGAGTTTGGGGAAGCAGAAATCACTTTTCTCGTAGCAGGAAAAGCAGAACCTCAGTGTGCTCATAAGTAGCTTTTGTTTTCATCCTCCTGAGCTCCAGCACCAGCGTTGTCTCTCAGCCCTGAAGTCATCTGTGGGGCTCGGCTCCTCTTTGGGTTTATAAAATGGTAAAAAACTTCTGTTATGTTTTAAACTCCATTCTTAACTTTTCTCTAACACAGCAACTGACCAAGGGAGAGCCTGGTTGAGGAGGTGCTTTGTATCCCAATGCAGAGACTCACTGACTGATGGAGGATTTGGGTGGCTGATATAAGCCATGTCCTTCACCACCTACAAAAGGAAGATGCTGTTCTATGCTCTCAGGAGGTCATGTGCATCCCATGGGATGACGCATGTGTACTCTTAGTGTAGCGTCTGTGACATCATTGAAGCTCAGTGTAGTAGTTAACTGTGGTGACAACTTGGATAAGAAATAGCTAGCTGATTGGCTGAGCACCATGTGAGTGTGTGTGCAGAATGGATTTACTGAAGAGGGAAGACCCATCCTAGGTGTGGGAGGCACTGGCTTGCAGCCTGGATGGCATAGAAAGGGAGAGAAGGGGGCTTTGCACCTAAGGTTGGCTTCCAGGCTTCACAAGGTAGGCATGGGGCACGCTGAATACACATAGAACTTCTCTCCGGTGGTCACGTTCACTGAAACTCTCTGCCCTCCTCTCCTGGTTTGTCCCCATTTTATCCCTGCTTCTGAAGCTTTACTTGACATCTTAGCCAGAATTAACGAGCCAAGTCCTGGAAACTCAAGCCAAGGAGAGGGGAGGGAAAGGGCAAAGCCAATGTGTAGCATAAGGCTACAGGCAGGGTGCTTTTCTTGAGAAGGCGTCCAGATTTCTACTGCTTAAAACCAGTGCAGAGCTGGTACAGTGTCTTGATTTGATTGAAAATTCTCTGGGTGAGATAGAAATTGCTGAGAATACATGTTCATTTACATTAGTATCTGGATTCTGCTTTTAGCCGCTGTGGCTCCTGACCTCACAATGATAGGAGACCAACGCAGCCAGTTACAAAAATAATAAACTCTGGAGGAATGAATGAGGGAGGGAGCGAGGGAGGGAATGAGAGGCAGGTAGAAAAATGAGGGTGACCAGGCTCCTTATGACAGCCAAAGCGGTTTCCACCCAGTAATCCCAGATCCAAACCTCCAGCACATCCCTGGAAGGACAATATATATGTAAATAAAGCCATCACACTTAGAATGTCAGGCCTCAGAGGGTTCCTCCGGAGCTTACAAAGGCCACTTCACATTTCTCCATGAATTTCCAAAACTTGACAGCTTTCTTAACTCACTGATGGCACAGAATAAAAGCTTCAAGAAATCATGCTGTTTGAAAAATAAACTATTTACTGTTCAGTTCAGAGGGAACATTCTGAATTTAACTACTTTGTGGCTATCAAAATGTGACTTAAGGACACAACACTGATTTAAAATGCAAATACACATTTTAGACACACAGATAAGGGAATAGTTGTAACCCAAGCCTAATGGTGGAGGGTGAGGGTGAACTCCAGCCACTGAAGGCTCAGACTTGTGTATCCTCTGGGTCACAGTGTGGATTGGGTCTAAAACTCCCTCACTTTGGACTCCCTCTCTCCCAAGGATATCAAAGAGGTCCTTCTAGTGCATGCCCGAAGACACATTTTCACAAAGCAAGTGGACAGCAAATCATTAAGCAGGTTAATCACTATGCAAACATTCCTTAACACAATGAATATTTGACTTCCACAAGTAAAGGCTTGTCTGAACTGCACCGTGCTCTGTGCCTAGTACTTGTCCTTAAGGTGAGTATAACTCCATTTAGGTCTCTGGATGCTTGTATGTAAGATGTACATTTTAGGGCTCTATACCATAAAAACATAGGTGAGGCCATAAATCTTGGACATTCGTGTTTAATTTCGTGTAATGGGAACAATCAGACAGAGCCTCACAGTGTGTAGTGGTCAGCACTGTCTTCACAGACCTTTGAGCCCTCCCTCAGCTGTGGGCAGCTGCTGCCCCACGGCCTGGCAGTGTGGGCTGGGGTTGGTGCCAGAGCCTGTGGAGACAGAGCTGTTCACAGGTTCCCTGATGGGAGCTGGCAGATGCTGCCTGGAGTGGGGTAGGATAGATGACCTCTAAGTTCCCCTCTAATATTAAGATTCTGTCACAGAGTTAGCTCCACAACACCAGTGCCCGCAGCACTAAGGGACTGCCCCTCTGACAGCACTATGATGACAGGCTTTCTGTGTGTCTGTGGGACCGCTGTTTCCAGAAGACCAGCCCAAAATGTGTGGCACATTGAAAAAAATCTCTCGACTTGTAAAAATTGCTCTCGACTTGTAGAAATTGAACCATGGTATTAATACAGTTTTGTGAAAACACATGACCAAAGACAAAATTCTCCATACACAAATAAAATACCCAGAAACTCTAGTCAGGAGTAAGCCAAGCTTAATTTCAGAGGAATATAGGAACCAGTGAAGCACACCAGGGAAGTTGCCCATGGAAGTGAAATTCTGGGTGCAATTCATTGCAGTTTAATTCAGTGGATGCATGCTGAGTGTTAGGCACTGCGCTGGGCTGGATTTCTGTTCTGAATAAAGGAGTCCTCTTTGCTCTTAGTGATTGGTTCTGCACCGAGAATCTTCATCAGGATGGTGAGAGATGGATCAGAGCAAGAGTGCAAATCATTTCCTCACAGAGGCCCATCCTAGCCCCGCCTACCCCCGTGGTGTACTGTCCACGCACATTCAGATGCCTAATTCCAAAGCCTTAAACAACTCAGCAAGGGAGGTTATTCTCTATTCTATAGAGGAGGAAAGCATGCCACAGCAAGGTTAAATGGCTTGACCTAAGTCATCCACCTATTAAATACCGATTTGGAGCTTGAAACATAATTCTCTGACTTCACAGCCAGAAGCATCTGTGCTGTATCTACGTTTCACCAGCTTCTGCAGTTGTCTGAAATACAGGGTCTAAGGGATGGGGGGGGGGGGCTCGTACTATGCTGTGATTCTTGGGGAACAGAGATCTCCAGCACTCAGACCTTTCCCCCAGGTTTTCTATCCCCTCCGTGTCCCCCCATTTGTTATTACTGGAAACTGGCCAGATGGGTGAGCTAAGCATCCAGTGGTGAACAGCTTTTGGGTCTGACTTTGAGCC